AGAAATGGATAATGCCATGTTGTTAGCGCAAGTGGGCAAAGTACAGCTTGGACTGTGTGAGGTAGTGAGCAGATGTGTCCTCCCAGAAGAGCGCTCACGAAACTGTACCTACGAAGGCATCTTCCAGACAGTACCATGAAAGTCCCCATGAGGAGAATTGACAGCCAAGACTCAGGGCATCTGGGATCTCTCCGGAACTCATGTGCCTGAGGCAGACAGATACAAGAGCTGAGGCTCCTCATGAGAGAGAAACCCCAGAGAGACCCCACCACTTTTCTAAAAGACTGATGGTCATCTATGTCAACATGGAAGAAGGGGTTCATGACAATAAAAGGAAGATGCAGTCAGCTAAGATAAAGCCTGTTGTGGGTAGAACCCTGAGAAAAACCTGACTGTCACTACTTGGGAACCTGATCTAGAGCTTTAAGAAATGTTAGGGTTCAAATGGCTTGGTGTGTGCACATACACTACCACCGTTCTTAGGCACTTAGGAGAAATAGTTATTTCTTCAAGTTACATATCTTCAACTCCCACCCCTCCAGAGAGATAAATATAACCCTCTGGCTTCAAATGAACACCCTCAGCTTCAACATCCCTTCCCTGCCTTTATACTTCTAATTCCAGAGCCACAGAACAGGCTGACCTGCTAAAGTGTATTTCTTCAGGAAAGAAAGCTGTGGCGAGAACATTTCTGATACCAACAACAGATGCTCTGTGAAATACTCAGGCAGGCAGGCGTGTACACAGATACAGTAACTAAATTGCCTGTTAAACATACTGTGAGAAATAGCGTGTGAGAAATAGCGTTTATCTTTCTCCCAAGCTGAGCTTTAGGGAAATAGAGCCTTAAAAACAACGTGTCTTTATTTCGGCTTTTAATATGCTTGTAATTATTGAATGAGGTCCAAAGGTTGTAAAGAAATAAAATCTGAACCCCTTATCAAACCCAAACATGGCCATTTCTATTCCTCAGTTTCCCCTTTTTTCCACTTCATTGTGATTCTTTTAATAAAACTCCAGACTAAAACTTAGTTTGATAAAGGCCATTCATCATCACAGCTAACTCTGATGAAGTTCACAAAGAGTTGAAACAACTACAGAGAATGAAAGGGTAGAGTTCCATAAGGATCCATCTTTGGGAAATCACTGTTCATTGTTAGCCAGATACCTTGTTGAGTCAAATGTCAAAATGCTATTTTTAAATCTAGGTACATGATAGTATCCATTAGCAGTAAATCACTACCAATATCTCTAGTAGCCAAATAAATCAATAAAACCAGACCTCTGACATAAGAGCATCACCACCACATTTTGTTAAATTCTCCAAATACTATCTAACAACAAATACCAAAAGATCTCAGCTGCACTGGGGTGAGAACAGTGAAACTTGCCATGATATCTACCTGCCCCAGACATTCCACATACTGTTGAAAACGATCCTCTCACAAATCTTTCCTTCGCCAGCTGACTGAGTTCTCCCTTCTGCGTACCTCGAAACACATCCATCACACTAGTGCCATTTACTTCAAGTTCGACACAGACAGAAAAAAGCTCAGCTTTACTGAGAGCTAGGGACCCATGAGTTTCTATCAGCTTCTTTAAGATCTCCCAGCATAGTACAGAATTGACACTCACATATTTATTAAATTGTGTCTAATATCTACTTTTTAATTTTAATATAATAGTGTATTTTTACATCATTTTGTGCCTTTTTCCATCTCAGTTGTAATCACCATGGGCTTCCCATCACCAAATCACCTGTGTGCCATCACCATAGTCCTATGCCAATATCTACTTTTATGTATCAACTCAAACTTCGTTTTTTCATGAATACATTTTCCAGTAACCTGTGCCTTCCTCAACTATTGACTAACTAAACATTTCTGCACTGCTTTAAATAAGTTCGTGTTTATAATATTTAGTTATTAGGTTGTTAGTATTCACTAGACCACTTCTCTCCATATTTTAGGATTCTCAAGAGGAGAGATGAGATTCCCCATAAAAAAGGACAGAACAGTTCACACACTGAGCATTTAATGATTATGAAAATGTACCAACCAACCTGTTTAATATTAAACAGCAGTATTCCTTCCTTAAAATTATAGATAAGGTCAGAGCAAAAACAGAAAAAGGAACAAAATGGATCACTTATTGTGAATAATTAGCTACTTTTCCATATTTTTAAAGCAAAGAGGGTTGAGCTCAAATTACCTTAGGCTCATAATCTTACATAACATCATATTTTAATAGTGTCATATATTCAGAGACTGCATTTTTTTCTCTTAATATTCACTGATAATGAGAAAATAAGTATACTGCATTCATTTTGTGTTTATCTCAAGTTGATAACATGGCATGAGGGAAATGGTACGTGGAGTTCTGTACATGTGATTATAAATAAATATGAAGAACAAAAGAGCTCAGATGCTTTTTCCATTTTATCTTTCTCAGTCACTATTTATCTAAAATCTCTTAAGGAGCATTTAAATCCAGACTTCAGAAGTTGAGTTCTAAGCATTTCCCAAAGTTATTAATTCAATTTACTGTCAGCAAATCCCTTTGATGACTGTTTTAGGGCATTCATGCAGTCACTAAAGCACTTATCTTTTCAAAATAAAATTCAAGTATAGGCAAAATCAGTGGTGGTGATAGGTCGCGTACATCTGCTGCAGTCTACACAGAGCTGTTCATTTTTCTAAGGGAAGAAAAAAGAAGACCCGATGTGGTACTAGAAAACAGTGCAAGAGTTAGTGAAGTAAAACTCAATTTCTAGGAAAAAAGTTCCCCCAAAAGCTGGACCTGAATAGCCAGTCTCACACATATAGCTTCCAGAAAGCTTCTCTACAGTTGCGCTGTCTGAGCTCTGAGAGAAAAGTCAACAATGGCATTGCCTCAGGAGTCTGTCCTGGGCACAGGGCTATTTAATATTCCTATTAATTACTTGGTGCAGCAAGGTGAGCTGTAAGAGCAGCTCCTTGTCAAAATTAACTGCAGGTAGAAATTATTGAAAAGATTCTGGTTTGATTTAGTAGCCAGTATCGTTAGGACAACAGAGGCCAAAGTCTAACTGTTACGAGAGCCCAAATAATGTCATTCTTCTCAGCTACGTCTGTAGCTCCTAAACATATAGATCTTCAGGCTAAATGACAAAAAGGAATCCGTAAAAGCTTTCATCTCTGGACAGGTCAATGACAAAACGGTGAGATATAAAATAATATAAGAGACATCCAAGGGTGATAATAAAAGATTAAAGGATGAAAAAAATAGGCTATGCTCTAACATGTTTGCATAGGACTGTTCAGAACACCAAATCTACTATGTCTATTGATTCCTCTTTCTTCTCCAAGCAGAAATGGTCTGCTCTTTCGAATGCCCACACAGCAGTTTGGGGCCAATTCTTAAGTATTTTTTAATGGAGTGACTTATCCTATATATACAAACAAGTAGACATTCCTTGAAAGTCAAGACCTGACTTTGCATTCTGCACTCCAGCCAGGTCATAGATTTTCAGTAAATGGTTGTTATGGCAACCCAGAACAGCAGCTAAGAACATAATCTTGGCAGCCTCACGCTAGCCACTTTTATATCTTGGTTCAACCACTAACAGACATTGAGATTCTCGGCAAGTTTCTAATGTTTGTGTTTACATTTTTTCATCTATAAAACTGGCATAATTATATGTAGTAGAATTATTGTGAAGTAAAATGAGGTAACTTCTGTAATGACTTCAAGACAGTATTTGACTTGCAGGCAAGTGTTTAATAAATGTTAGCTAGGAGACATAGTCACGTTAGGACATTAGTGGAGGAGAGACTTAATAAAACCCCTGATACAAAAACTCAGGAAAATTAGAGGGCAACTTGTGCAAGCTTTCCCTTGATTCAATGACAATGTTTCTCCCAAATTTAAGTCTTTGTTAATTAGGTAAACAATTTTCAGAAAATGACTACTTTTTTAGTAAATGATGTCCCAGGTACTGCATGGTAGGAGGATTCTGTGGAAGCAGCATCTGGTAGAACAAATATGAGTGCTGGTTTGTTGCTGGAAGGAAAAGTCTCTGAATTTTAAGTCATACTTCTTTCCCCTCTCCACTTGTAAAGACCTCTTTATCATATACAGGAAGCCACACATTTCTGCTTTATAACATCAATCCTAAGTTGTGGTAAAGCTAAGAACTGTAAAGGAGCTAGTAGTCCCTCTGTATTTCCACTCCCGGCCACAGTACACTTGCCCAACTGTGGACAGAACCTCCCTTAAGGTGCAGACTGGGTGCGCCCCAGATTCTGATAAATCAAGCCACTTAGTCCTCATCTCAAAGTCTATCTGTAATTCCCTTTCTGACCACATTGAACTAAATGGAACCAACTACTAGAAAGTACTAACTTTAAAAGTGCACTTTGAGGCTCTCGCTGGTGGCGCAGCAGGTGAAAGCACTGCACTGAGAGGTTAAAGCCATTTCCGCATGAGTTCCATCCCCGCCTGCCCTGGCGGTGACCCACATGGCGTGGCAGACCTCTCCTGACCCGCCCGCTGCTCCCCTCAGCAGTGTACTTCATCAGTCGGCTGTTCTGCTCCCCACTCTGTCTCTGGTGAAGTCTCTCACCCCCCACACCTTTGGCCTGTAGCCACAGAATAAACAATCTTTTTAAAAAAAAATTAAAAATGACAATTGCAAAATTCCCCATGTCAGAGGGTTTATTTAGATTAAATACTAATGTATCAGATTAGTTCTAAGTACTGATAGACTGAACATTCCAGGTTTCGAAGCAGAGCTGGGCTCCATGAGGGCACCTGAATGCACTTATAAATAGGGAAGTTTCTACTGAGACCAGAACATGCGGGCTTGGAGTAGGCAGTAAGCAGCTATGGTATTTTTTGAAGCACAACATACTATATATTCATTATAAACAGGTCTTCCTTTGCAAACAACAATCAAATTTAGGGGTTCAATCCAAACAGCCAGTAGTGCAAGAACCAGCATGCAGAATGCAGACTCTTACCCCTCAGTACTGATTTGAGGTTGAGCTTGGCTTGGCGGTGCAGGTCCTCCACGCAGGGCGGTCTGGTGGAGGGCAGGAACACATTTTCCTGCTGGTGCCACGGAGCCGTGTAGTGCACTGTCCATCTACTCTCCTCGTCGAGGTTGGAAACCGCTGTGGAGAGATAGATTCAAGTGTCAAATGAAGCTCCATGGGTCCCAAAGGGGCCCCCTCCAGGTGGGGGTGGGCTCTGGGTGCTTAACCATGGTGAAGGGCAGCAAGGTGGGAGATGGAGCAAATCTGAAGAGATTTAATCTTTGACTACTAGGGTCCTTCTCACAGGGTTCTGTCTCTGCAGGAGAAGCTGAAACTGTCTCTCAGTTCCCCTCTCAAAGCACACCCCCCCCAGTCTTGGTAGGATTCGATTACTCACTCAGCTTCCCCACATGTTAGGCCCTCCCTCTACTCCAGTGTTAGAAAATGAGAGACAAAACGAGCAGAGCCCTCCCATTCCTACTGAACTCTTCCACAACAAAAATCTATTATTCAGTTGCACAATGCCATTGCATCAGGAGGTGGCAGACTGTCAAGACAGAAACAAATTTCCTTCCAAGAGGCTGGAAACTAATCCTTTCCCCTCTGAAGCTTTATTTTAAAACATCACTGTTACAAACTCAATTAAATCTTTTAAAAATTAACCATAAATATTCAATGTGATGCATTTTAAATGTCATAGCAAATGGGAGTGCAAATCAATTTGCGCTACAAATTTTTTCTGTATTTCTTACTTTCATCAAATACTTCCACATTAAAGTGTTTTCTATAAATTCAATGCAGTTGACTTTTCCCCAAACAATCCAACACAAACGACTCCAAAGTATTAGAGGGGTAATGCGACTACGCTAAATCTCTGTAATAATTATTTCCTGACAATGCCAGATGGGGTCCCAGTGGGGTCCAACAAGAAGTTGGCTGCACCGAACAAATTCATCAATACATTTTTTAGTATTTTCCACATACCCGCCACTGTGAGCCAGGCACTGGAAAGACTAGAAATATATTAGAGAAAGATCCTGCACAGAGACATTTACTGGGGGATGACAAGTCTCAGAGATATCAGGCCAGCAGATAAATACTAGATTTGAGAGGAGGGCAAGTGTTCTCTAACTCTGAACTAAGCTATAGGTATGCACTGGCTGTATCCATTTCTAGAACCTAACATGCCGGTGGAAACCGGATCTTATACTAGATTCGGAAAAAAAACTGAACAGGTTTGTATGAACTATTAAACCTGTTTATTTGAACACATATAACTGAATAGACCTATACTGCATCGACCAGAACTACCATAAAGACTGAATAAACTAATATACCCAAAGTCTGAGCTTGTGAAAGAACTCACCAAGCACACGAATGTAGCATGAGCAGGGAAAAGGACTATCCAGCAGTCCCAGACTTGAGAATCATGGCCTTTCCTTCTCCTCCAGAAAACTGAGCCATAATTGGGCTCATATCCTTCACCCCTGGCCTCAAACAACTCATTTTTTAAATGTTCATAAATTGCAAAACTAAACCTCAAGTTAAAACCAGAAATGCCCTGTGAGCTTGTTTTTAATGTTGACAAAGCAGGCAGGTAAATTAGACAACTAGTTACCACATGATCTCTTGTTGAACACATCTGTATCATGCATGTAACTTGCAATTGTAATACAAAAAAAAAAAGTCCACAAAGATCTGCTTTATCTCTTACTTCGGTATCTGAGACAGTTGCACAATGCTGAAGTCACTAAATATCTCTCAAGGAGTGTCCACAGTTAATTACTGTGCTTTTGCTTATGTCCATTCATTTGACAAAATGCATCACCAGGCTTCATAGTTAGAAATTACTGGAAATTGAAACGCTTCTATTTGCCAATTACAAGTCAAATCAAAATAATAGTGTTCGCGAGTGTATGATCACACCCAGAGCTCCACAGTACAGCTACCAACTGGCTCCTATGAAAGAACAGTTGTCTCTTCCCTGGAGTATTTCACTCTTGCCAGGGCAGATTTTAATCAGTCCGTCCAAAGACAGCCTTCGAGCAAGGGAGCTGTGGAAAATGAGCCCAGAAAGCTATTCTTTGTTGTTTTCTGCAAGTTTCTCTTACTCAGGCACTTGTATCCAGTTTCAATCACTGACCCCAAAAACTAGACTAAAATAAACCAACAATCATGTAGAAATAAAACCATGTTATTTGTGAAAATTACACTTTCCAGGGAAGGAGGAATCCACCTGGATGAAAGTGGTTTACAACAAATGCTAAGTCCCCCAAAAGGCCACACCACAGAAACTGTACTGTACAAGCACAGATCGGTCTAGACAGAGTTTGTCCTTGAGCTCTTAAATACATAACAGAGTGCCAGGGGGCTGTAGCAGATCATCCTGCCAAAAATATGAGACAGACTACACAGAGGCTCCCTGATATTTAGCCAAGGAAGCAAAAATTAGCATACACTATACATCAAGAGGACAAAAAGGAAGTTGCCCTCTACTTCAAAGGGCTCTTTTGAGTAGTAAAAAAAGTGAATTCACCTAAAACCCTTACCATAAATAAATAAGACAAGCTAAGTCATGTAATTCTGCCCTAGAGTTACAAAAGACTGAGGTATAGAATAACCTGGTATAGAATGGAGTTTAACTTTTACTAATTAGGCTGTTTCACACCCCTGTAGCACATACCACACACGGGCACACACACACAGACCCATAGAGAAGAAAAACTACTTACTTTTCTTCTTAAAAACTTTAAAGAAAGACTTGATCTTCGCATTAATAAAGACCACCATTTCCAAGATGCCCACATAGGGTTTAGCAATTTAAATCACATTAAGGACTCTGGCCAGCAGGCAGGTGGCAAGCTGAATCCTTCTGCCCCAGAGCCTAACTTTCTTCTTTGAGTCTCAAGCCCTTAGACATCTGCCCGGGCTGAAGTTGAGCTCATTGTCAGGCAGATAGAAACCATTAGCAGCCCTTGAACCTGAAAAGCTCCCACTGAAACTTAATCTTTATGGCTGGGAGCCCCCAGTGAGGAAGCACACAAACTGAGACAGCCAATCACAGTGCTGATTCGCGTGAGCACCTCCGCGTCCAGACAGTCCTATCCAGCCATGGTCCTGTGCTTTCTCTCTCTCTTCTCTCTAAAAAGTTTCTTGTGTGTGGAGTCCAGGAAATAGTGCAGATTCTCCTCTACGGAAGTCCAGGTGAAACACAAGGATTCCCGGTCTTCACTGTGCCACTATGAGCATCCCGATCTTTTTACTGGAGCCAAGTCCATGTGGATTCTTTGACTCCATTCAGAGCAGGCACTTGAACTGATTTAGGGGGGAAAGAGCTTAACTACTGTTCCCTGACCACGCCTCTCCACCCCCTTTTCCTCTGACACCAATGGAACTTTAAACCCAGTAAAACTTTATAATAGAATCACCATGGAGCTGCCAGTGATGACTCAGTTGCAGATGTGTGTAATGAGTACACCTTCTTTCTTCTCACCGGTGGATTTTTTTTTTTTTTTTGGCCAGTGCTAGAGAATCAGCATTATAATTGTTGAGCAGCTTATTTGCATTTAGCTGCCACAACTCTCAAAAAAAAAAAAAAAAAGCCAAACTACCCTTAAACTCCCCCCACTCCACAGGAAAAAAAAACAGGTAAAGTACCCTAAATACCCTAATCATTTTAATCTGTAGTTTCAATTGAATTATGATCTATTTAAACATTTGGTTTAAAACTTTCTACCCACCCCCCTCCCCATAATTTCACACAAATTTTACATGGGCTTCTCTTTAACTTGAATGTAATATACTGAATTCTCATGCTTTTGCCCATTTTTAACAAACCACAGAGAACTAAGGAAACAAATGAGAGAAGAATTAGAAATGGGGTATAAGCAAGCACCAGAAAAATATATTCCAGGGCAAAGGAGTGGGAAGAAATAGAAAAGAATACAGATCAGGAAACACTATAAAAAGGGACAAAAGACAAGAATGTTCTCAGAGCTCTCCTCCGTTCCACTTCAAGACAAAACCGTTTTTGAAACACATTAGACAACCTCTTATTTCATAGCTTTGGGCCAGACTTATAGCTGAATGGAAAAATGTCATAATCCACTAATTCAAAACATTTAGTTTATAACAAAAGCTCTTAGTCAAAGAAAAAAATTATATAGGGGCTCCCTCTGGAGAAAGCCTTGGAGTGATTTCTCCTCAAACTTCCTCCACCCCCACTTCTTAGTTTTGAACAAAAGCAAAGAATATAAACAAGGCCAAAAATTTACATACATTTCATCATATGACCAGAAATACTATCACAGATTCCCAATTGTGTTCTTTCATCCTATGCATCATTTTACTTACAAGCAATACTATGACCAGATGGCAAATAAGAAACAACTGAGACTACAAAAGAAATTATATAGCTGCCTTAAATGAGTTAGTTAATTCCCCTGGGGAAAACAAATTTGTAAGTAAGAGTGGCATCTCTCTGCTTCCTCTCAACAACCTCACTGCTTTCAACAGGTAGCTGTGTGTCAGGTACAAGCACTCATACTCCATAAGCCACAGGATTCTGAGGTGAATGTCTACCACACACCTCCCGTGAGAACAGCATGCAGCTTTTCACACAGACAATAGCTGCACCCCACCACAGACTCATTCAGAAAGGAAAATGCTGAGCAATGCCAGCGCCCCTGCATTGATATGCCTACCTTCAGCGAGCTGACACTGAGGATAAGCAGCAATACCTGGTGTGTAAGCAGGCAGTGAATGAACTGGACAAATGGAAAAGCCAAGCAGAGTAAGAGGCTTGGGAGTGGGAAGGTGTTAGGTTGCAGTTGAAGGAGCAGTTAGGGTAGACTGCATGATGAAGGTAAGAGTTGAGTAAAAACTTGAAAGAGCAAAGAATGCCACCACTCCCATTTTGAAGGGGGAGATAGGTAGTGAGACACTTCTAATCCCTCAGGACTTGTCAGACTGTTTGGAGTTGTAATTCTAACAGGTGAACAATTCCCTTTCTCACTCAATACTGTCACCTATGAAGTAGTTGTGTGAAGATGGAGCCACTCCGGCCAGCAGTGAGTCCAGAGTAGAAGGCAGGACTCCATGCTTGCACTCCAGGGACCACCATCCTCTGTCTGTCTCCA